AGCAAACAAACACAGATGAACAACACAATAAATGAAATTAAAAGTTCTCTAGAAGGGATCAAAAGCAGAATAACTGAGGCAGAAGAACGGATAAGTGACCTGGAATATAAAATAGTGGAAATAACTACTGCAGAGTGGAATAAAGAACAAAGAATGAAAAGAATTGAGGACAGTCTCAGAGACCTCTGTGACAGCAGTAAACACACCAACATGCAAATTATAGGGGTCTCAGAAGAAGAAGAGAAAAAGAAAGGAACTCAGAAAATATTTGAAGAGGTTATAGTTGAAAACTTCCCTAATATGGGAAAGGAAATAGTTAATCAACTCCAGGAAGCACAGAGAGTCCCATACAGGATAAATGCAAGGAGAAACATGCCAAGACACATATTAATCAAACTATCAAAATTTAAATACAAAGAACAAATATTAAAAGCACAAGGGAAAAACAACAAGTAACACATAAGGGAGTCTCCATAAGGTTAACAGCTGATCTTTCAGCAGAAACTCTGCAAGCCAGAAGGGAGTAGCAGGACATATTTAAAGTGATGAAAGAGAAAAACCTACAACCAAGATTACTCTACCCAGCAAGGATCTCATTCAGATTGGACAGAGAAATTAAAAGCTTTACAGACAAGCAAAAGCTAAGACAATTCAGCACCACCAAACCAGCTTTACAACAAATGCTAAAGGAACTTCTCTAGGCAGGAAACAGAAGAGAAGGAGAAGACCTACGATAAGAAACACAAAACAATTAAGAAAATGGTAATAGGGACATACATATTGATAATTACCTTAAATGTAAATGCATTAAATGCTCCAACCAAAAGACATAGACTGGCTGAATGGATACAAAAACAAGACCCATATATATGCTCTCTACAAGAGACCCACTTCAGACCTAGGGACACATACAGACTGAAAGTGAGGGGATGGAAAAAGATATTCCATGCAAATGGAAATCAAAAGAAAGCTGGAGTAGCAATTCTCATATCAGACAAAATAGACTTTAAAACAGACTATTACAAGAGACAAAGAAGGACACTACAGAATGATCAAGGGATCAATCCAAGAAGAAGATATAACAATTGTAAATATTTATGCACCCAATATAGGAGCACCTCAATACATAAGGCAAATGCTAACAGCCATAAAAGGGGAAATCAACAGTAACACAATCATAGTAGGGGACTTTAACACCCCACTTTCACCAATGGACAGAGCATGCAAAATGAAAATAAATAAGGAAACACAAGCTTTAAATGATACATTAAACAAGATGGACTTAATTGATATTTATAGGATATTCCACCCAAAAAGAACAGAATACACATTCTTCTCAAGTGCTCATGGAACATTCTCCAGGATAGATCATATCTTGGGTCACAAATCAAGCCTTGGTAAATTTAAGAAAATTGAAAGCGTATCAAGTATCTTTTCCGACCACAATGCTATGAGACTAGATATTAATTACAGGAAAAAACCTGTAGGAAATATAAACACATGGAGGCTAAACAACACACTACTTAATAACCAAGAGATCACTGAAGAAATCAAAGGGGAAATCAAAAAATACCTAGACACAAATGACAATGAAAATACAATGACCGAAAACCTATGGGATGAAGCAAAAGCAGTTCTAAGAGGGAAGTTTATAGCTATACAAGCCTACCTTAAGAAACAAGAAACATCTCAAATAAACTACATAACCTTACACCTACAGCAATTAGAGAAAGAAGAACAAAAAAACCCCAAAGTTAGCAGAAGGAAAGAAATCATAAAGATCAGATTGGAAATAAATGAAAAAGAAATGAAGGAAACGATAGCAAAGATCAATAAACCGAAAAGCTGGTTCTTTGAGAAGATAAACAAAATTGATAAACCATTAGCCAGACTCATCAAGAAAAAAAGGGAGAAGACTCAAATCAATAGAATTAGAAATAAAAAAGGAGAAGTAACAACTGACACGGCAGAAATACAAAGGATCATGAGAGACTACTACAAGCAACTCTATGCCAATAAAATGGGCAACCTGGAAGAAATGGACAAATTCTTAGAAATGCACAACCTGCCAAGACTGAACCAGGAGGAAATACAAAATATGAACAGACCAATCACAAGTACTGAAATTGAAACTGTGATTAAAAATCTTCCAACAAACAAAAGCCCAGGACCAGATGGCTTCACAGGCAAACTCTGTCAAACATTTAGAGAAGAGCTAACACCTATCCTTCTCAAACTCTTCCAAAATATAGCACAGGTAGCAACACTCCCAAACTCATTCTACGAGGCCACCATTGCTCTGATACCAAAACCAGATAAAGATGTCACATAAAAAGAAAACTACAGGCCAATATCACTGATGAACATAGATGCAAAAATCCTCAACAAAATACGAGCAAACAGAATCCAACAGCACATTAAAAGGATCATACACTATGATCAAGTGGGGTTTATTCCAGGAATGCAAGGATTCGTCAATATATGCAAATCAATCAACGTGATACACCGTAATAACAAATTGAAGGAGAAAAACCATATGATCATCTCAATAGATTCAGAGAAAGCTTTCGACAATATTCAACACCCATTTATGATAAAAACCCTGCAGAAAGTAGGCATAGAGGGAACTTTCCTCAACATAATAAAGGCCATATATGACAAACCCGCAGCCAACATCATCCTCAGTGGTGAAAAGTTGGAACCATTTCCACTAAGATCAGGAACAAGACAAGGTTGCCCACTCTCACCACTATTATCCAACATAGTTTTGGAAGTTTTAGCCACAGCAATCAGAGAAGAAAAAGAAATAAAAAGAAACCAAATTGAAAAAGAAGAAGTAAAGCTGTCACTATTTGCAGATGACATGATACTATACATAGAGAATCCTAAAGAGGCTACCAGAAAACTACTAGAGCTAATCAATGAATTTGTAAGAGTAGCAGGATACAAAATTAATGCAGAGAAATCTCTTGCATTCTTATACACTAATGATGAAAAATCTGAAAGTGAAATTAAGGAAACACTCCCATTTACCACTGCAACAAAAAGAATAAAATATCTAGGAATAAACCTACCTAAGGAGACAAAAGACCTGTATGCAGAAAATTATAAGACACTGATGAAAGAAATTAAAGATGATACAAATAGATGGAGAGATATACCATGTTCTTGGATTGGAAGAATCAACATTGTGAAAATGACTGTAGTACCCAAAGCAATCTACAGATTCAATGCAATCCCTATCAAACTACCACTGGCATTTTTCACAGAACTAGAACAAAAAAATTCACAATTTGTATGGAAATACAAAAGACCCCGAATAGCCAAAGCAATCTTGAGAAAGGAAAACGGAGTTGGAGGAATCAGGCTCCCTGACTTCAGGCTATACCACAAAGCTACAGTAATCAAGACAGTATGGTACTGGCACAAAAACAAAAATACTGTCTGTATCCATCTGTAATGGAACAGGATAGAAAGCCCAGTGATAAACCCATGCACATATGGTCACCTTATCTTTGATAAAGGAGGCAAGAATATACAGTGGAGAAAAGACAGCCTCTTCAATAAGTGGTGCTGTGAAAACTGGACAGCTACATGTAAAGCAATGAAATTAAAACACTCCCTAACACCATACCCAAACTCAAAATGGATTAAAGACCTAATTGTATGGCCAGACACCATCAAACTCTTAGAGGAAAATATAGGCAGAACACTCTATGACATAAATCACAGCAGGATCCTTTTTGACCCACCTCCTAGAGAAATGGAAATAAAAACAAAAATAAATAAATGGGACCTAATGAAACTTAAAAGCTTTTGCACAGCAAAGGAAACCATAAAGAAGATGAAAAGACAACCCTCAGAATGCGGGAAAATATTTGCTAATGAAGCAACTGACAGATGATTAATCTCCAAAACATACAAGCAACTCATGCAGCTCAATATCAAAAAAACAAACAACCCAATCCAAAAATGGGCAGAAGACCTAAATAGACATTTCTCCAAAGAAGATATACAGATTGCCAACAAACACATGAAAGAATGCTCAAGATGATTAATCATTAGAGAAATGCAAATCAAAACTACAATGAGATATCATCTCACACTGTCAGAATGGCCATCCTCAAAAAATCTACAAACAATAAATGCTGGAGAAGGTGTGGAGAAAATGGAACCCTCTTGCACTGTTGGTGGGAATGTAAATTGATACAGCCACTGTGGAGAACAGTATGGAGGTTCCTTAAAAAACTAAAAATAGAACTATCATCGACCCAGCAATCCCACTACTGGGCATATACCCTGAGAAAATGATAATTCAAAATGAGTCATGTACCAGAATGTTCTTTGCAGCTCTATTTACAATAGCCAGGACATGGAAGCAACCTAAGTGTCCATCAACAAGTGAATGGATAAAGAAGATGTGGCACATATAATATATACAATGGAATATTACTCAGCCATAAAAAGGAACGAAACTGAGTTATTTGTAGTGGGGTGGATGGACCTAGAGACTGTCATACAGAGTGAAGAAGTCAGAAAGAAAAACAAATACCTTATGCTAACACATATATATGGAATCTAAAGAAAAAAAAAAAAGAAAATGGTCTGAAGAACCTAGGGGGAAGATGGGAAAAAAGATGCAGACCTAAAAGATTTAATTAACTTATTAATATGACTTAATTAAGTAGGCTATTTATGTGATAAAAAAAAGAAAAAAAAGATGCAGACCTACTAGAGAATGGACTTGAGGATACGGGCAGGGGGAAGGGTAAGCTGGGACAAAGTGAGAGAGTGGCATGGACATATATACACTACCAAATGTAAAATAGATAGCTAGTGGGAAGCAGCCGCATAGCACAGGGAGATCAGCTCGGTGCTTTGTGACCACCTACTGGGGTGGGATAGGGAGGGTGGGAGGGAGGGAGATGCAAGAGGGAAGAGATAAGGGGACATATGTATATGTATAACTGATTCACTTTGTTATAAAGCAGTAACTCATACACCATTGTAAAGCAATTATACTCTAATAAAGATGTTAAAAAAAGAATTCTCAACCACTTGTCTAGTATATATTGATTGAAACCATTTGTAAATTACTCCATCTGTCAATGAAATGCAAACACCTCTGTAGTGAAACTAAACAGCTGTTTAAATGCTCAAAGCTTTAATAGACAAAGAAATCCTCTTCCTTAACACTGGTTCTATTTATACTATTCCAAAACAACAACTCATTTAGGGAAAAATCCAGTATTTCCAGGTGTATAAACACAACCATTATTTATAAGGCGATTTATAAGAAGACGGAGACTAACCACTTCCCAGTTGAGGAATTGCTAAGCACTAGAATTAGGAAAGTTAGGCTCCTGTGTGTGTGTGTGTGTGTGTGTGTGTGTGTGTGTGTGTGTGTGTGTGTGTTTATGTTGTGTGTATTTGGTGGATTCAGAATTATTTGTATTTGTGGGCTACACTTAAAATTCACAATTGCTCGGGCACCCTTTATTGCACAAAATCCACAAACGAGCTTGGAATAAATAAAAGTCTTACAAGCAGTAGACTTGTAAATTATAAATTGTAATTTATAATTCTTAACAGTCTATTTATACCATACAGGAATTTGCAAATATTTTCCATTTAAACAAAGACATACCTTCGTCATATTTTCTTAGTTATTTCCTTATTAACTAAGGAGGAAATTGAGTACCATGTAGCCTCTGGACTCTGACGGCCTGGGTTTGAATACCAGCTCCACTGATGACTGCCTATGTAGCACTGGGCAAGGTATTTCTCCTAGCTAAGCCTCAGTTTTCACACCTGTCAAATGGCAAAAATAATATATCTCACAGAGTAATTGTGAGGACTAAAAGAATTTAAAATTTGTAAAAGTGAATTTGTAAGAATTTAAAAATGTAAATCATTTGATGCAATGCTTGTCACACAGCACTTAATACAAGTTATATATTATTTTAAATCATGAAGCCTTTTGCTGGGTTTAATATTGATGATCCTCAATTAATTTTCACCTCTTGTCACTTTTGGCAATAAATGATTATTCACATAGAACTTCTTGAAATGAAAACTGCTGCCAATCACTGTCTCATTCATATAACAACTAGGTCATTCAACAGTCAATTATTTTTAATTAGTTGTGACTATAATTTACAGTTAATGTATACCTGCAGGAAGCTTGGGAGGCTGAGCTGTTTAAAACCTGTCACTTCACAAAAGGTACAAACTTTTAGTTATATGATAAATAAGTACTAGGGATGTAATGCAGTACTAGGATGTAACGTACCATGATAAATATACTTAGCACTGCTGTATGTTATATCTGAAAGTTGTTAGAGAGTAAATCATGAGTTTTCATCACAAGGAAAACATTTTCCTATTTCTTTAATTTTGTATTGACACGAGATGATGGGTGTTCACTGAACTTATTGTGGTGATCATTTCATGATGTATGTAAGACAAATCATTATGCTTACATCTTGAATTTAACCAGTGCTGTGTATCAATTTCATCTCAATACAACTGGAAGATAGATAGATAGATGATAGATAGATCGATAGATAGATAGATAGGTAGACAGATAAAGCCAGCCACTTCATAGTAGCTATCAGTTGGGTCCTGGCAGGAAACAGGTGACATATTCAAACTGAGTATGGAGAAGAGTTTAGTAAAGAACTATGTACAAAGTTGTGGGCAGGTTTAGGGGAAAAGAGTGATAATGAAGTGCCCTAGAGTTTATAAATATGGGAGAGCAGTTACCACTTCTAAGTCTGAAAGTGCAGGGGGAGGATGTGGCCTCAGGAACATAGTGTGGATAGCTGTTCAGAGAGGACCCCCCGACAGGGGCTGTCACTTTTGGTATTGAGATATAGCTAATGCTGCTCTGGGAAGGAGTTGGGAGTAAATACACCAGCCTCACTCTCTTTCTGCCCTTTTAACCCCCTCCCATTGCTTCCAACTGGTCAGACCTAACTTGAGAAGTCTGAGGTCAAGAGAGCCTGCTCATGAAGTCCATGCAGGTCAGTCTTGTACAGCCCAGAACCTTGAAGAGTAGATTTGGAAGAACGAACAGAAAGCAGCCAGTATCACCGTTACTGAAGTTGTCCCATAGCTGATGAGGGAACTCTTAAAATTGACTTGGAACACAAGCCCAGCCCTTGTGCTCAACTAGAAGGTGCAGAACTCTGGACTTACTAGACATGCATGCAGAGGGGTTCCATGAGGAAAATCCTGGCTTGCTTGCAGGTCGTTTTCATGTGGAGACAGGGTAGACTTTTACCAGGCAAAGGTACTACTAGGCTTTGTGAACTTCAATCCATTAAGTCCCCAGATAAGAAAAACAATTTGATCCAGCTAGGGATTTCGTGTCTAGGTGAGACAAGCCAGACTGTAAACCCACAGTGAGTAATCAGTAAGTGCTCTGAAGATCACAATTTGGGGTCACACAGTTTACCTGATTTCTGAGATGGGTTCTGTGGTAGGTACTGTATTTTGTGTCCTCCAGCCCCATAGAGTCTTGTGATGCCCTGAAGCCCCAGCCTTGGGAGAGACCCTGAGCCAGAACAACCCAGCTAAGATGCTCCTGGCTTCCTGACTCTCAGAAACTGTATGAGGTGATAAGGTTTGTTGTTATTCAGCAATGAACAACTCCTACAATAACATACAAAACTTTTTGTAAAGGTCAAAGGCATTCATTATAAACTGATCAAGGGGTGGTCGTAAAAGCAGAGTGAGCATGAAACCTAGGAGAAAGGAAGCAGATTGGCTGGGAAAAGTAGACTTAGCTGTAACGGACAACTAGAGTAAGGCAAAACCAACTAGATGTTCAAGTAATGTATAGCTACTAACAGAGAGACATAAAGACACAGTTTCTGAGCATTTACCCTGTATATTATTTACTCTTTGCAAAAATTCTGCGGTTCTGTGATACACATTGCTACCTTTATTTTACAGGGGAAGACACTCAGGGTCAAGAGTAGAAACACGTGCTTCAGAGTCACACAGACAAGAGATAATAGAGCTCGGATTAGAACCCAAGCCAGTCTGGCCCCAGAGTTCACGTTCTCTCTGTGCTTCTCTGTGCAGGAGTAAAGAAAAGGAATATTGGACAAGGGAGGTCATATTGGGAGATAAAGTAAGATAACAAAACAGTCATGGGAAAATTCTTCAGTCTTTTGGAAGGAGTCGGGGAAACTGCCTGTGGTGAAAACAAAACTAAACCCCGCAAAAACATATGGCTGATTAAAAGGAGGAAGCTCACTAGAGAACAGAAGATATTTTGGGTGATAATAGAGCTTAGAGTGAAAGAAGCCCCATCTGTAGTCATCTCTTCAAGGCCAGATCTAAATATGCAGAATATGGGTGGCTCCTCCCCCACCCCCAAGGGGTACACCAGGGAAAAGCACACCACCTAGAGTAACATGTAAACACACAAGCACAGCAGAGACAACACTCCCTGGCTGTGAGCAGATGGGGAGGAGAGCAGGTCTCGGGAAGTTCTCCAGCAGGAAAGTGAAAGAAGGTAAAGAACATTTTGCCAAGAACGTGGTGCCGTCATTTTCTATTTCTGAGTGTTTGTTGATACTGTCCAGCTGACATAAAAGCCACAGTGGGCACAAATTTAAGAGGACATATTCTTGTTTTACTGGGGTTGGTGAAAGAGGATGCTGTGGGAAATAGATTTGGGGACCTTAACTCTGAGGGGAAATGGTTAAGCTACCTGATATTTTAAGTGGTTAAACAGGAGTCTGAGAGCTAATTCTACTAGAATAGTGGTGGGGTATTACGCAGCAAGTGTATGACTCCACTTTTCGACCCAAAGGCGAATCTGTTTTATACCCCAGTAGAAGTGGAACACCAGCCCTGACCCACTGAACAAAATGGCACATCAACTTCTCTGCCACCTCAGAGGAACAGAAAGCAGAGAGAGAAAATACGCAACAGTCGTCTTAGAGAGACACAGTGCACGCTGTAGCAAAGCCCAGCCACTCTTGCTGTGGTTTGTAAGCTCAGGCCCTCAGCAATTTTGCTTTATTTGTTTGGCCTTAGTGATACTATCTTCACCTGGGTTCCCATGAGAAAGTAGAGTCTGAGACTCACTTTTATGAAGGTAGTTTACTAGAGGATGTCATCTCAGGGGGTCATGAGTGAAGACTGGGAAGAGTGAAAAGGGGGGAGGAGGGATTGTCAAAATAAGGATGCATCTTCGAGTAGGTCATAGGTGTGGGTGACAAAGGCTTGGTCCCGTTGTGACTCTCTGAGGATCATGTAGAATGCACCTCTGAATTGTCAGGAGGGTGGGGCAGAAGAGCAGGCCTTTACCCACTGTTTCCAATTCTGCATTGACCCAAGGGTTACCCCGTAGTATGCCGATCTTCCAGCTTTAGGCATGCATGGGTACCAGTCAGGGCTCCACGGGCATCTGATGTCAGGTGTCAGACAAGTCCAAGCACAGAAAGCAAGAGAACTGGGTACAGCTGGGGCAAGGTGGTGACAGGTTTTACCTTCCCAAAAGGTGACTGTGGCCACTGCGATGGAGTAAAAGATTTGAGGTGTAGCTCAAGAAATACTTAATATAAATATCTTAAAAATTTGCTTAAGATAAAAAAATTTGAAAACAGTGCAGAGGCTCTAATTCAAGAAAACACCACTCTGCTTGTGTAGGACATGGATGCAGGACACACAAAATTCTGAGCAGAAGATGAAATGAGACATTTTAAAATTGAACTATTCCTTTGATTATTGCCATAGCTTTACTAATTCCTCTGCAGGAGCAAAAGTGGAAATTACTCTGAATTTCCCATTACTTATTATTTGTCATTTGTTTCATGTAAGTGTATTTAAATAAATTGTTGAATTATTCTTATGTAGTTCTCATCCTGTTGAGTGGGTTCAGTAGTTTTCATCAAATATTTTTTGAGGGGTTCTTTTAAGTCTTGTGTCTCCCTCCGATACCCCAATGTATACACACACATGCAGAGATTTTTTTTTGTAGATAATTGGAAGGTTGAGCTCAGACCACCAGAGTCAAGATTTCAGTGCCTTGAGAGAGCAAACTCAGATAAGCATCATTCTTTTACAGACTGAGTTTTCAGTCTGTGTGTGCTTCAAGTTATAACAACTACTGTGACAGTTTCCTGCAAAAGGATTGCTGACCTGTGATTACATTAAATCATATCAGGTGACCTCCTCAATTCAGAACAAATGCCATTTGAGAGTAAGCTTAGGAAATCCCACTACCGGGCATATACCCAGAGAAAACCATAATTCAAAAAGACACAGGCACCCCAGTGTTCATTGCAGCACTATTTACAATAGCCAGGAAATGGAAGCAACCTAAATGCCCATCGACAGATGAATGGATAAAGAAGATGTAATATATATATGTAATTACATATGTATATATGTAATATATACATATATTATATGTATATAATATATGTATATGTATATTGTATATATGTAATATATATATACAATATTACTCAGATGTAAAAAGGAACAAAATTGGGTCATTTGTAGAGATGCGGTTGGACCTAGAGACTGTCATGCAGAGTGAAGTAAGTCAGAAAAACAAATATTGTATATTAATGCATATATGCGGAATCTAGAAAAATGGTATAAATGAACCAGTGTGCAAGGCAGAAACAGAGACACAGATGTAGAGAACAAACGTATGGACACAAAGTGGGGAAAGCGTGTGTGTGGGGGGGTGATGGTGGTGGGATGAATTGGGAGACTGGGATTGACATATATACACTAATATGTATAAAATAGATAAGTAATAAGAACCTGCTGTATAAAAAATAAATAAATAAACTAAAATTTTAAGAAAAGAGTAAGCTTAGGAGAAATCCCTTTTTTTCATACAGAAATTCTTAAAAAGCAAATCTTTCATTGTGCATCTTTTATTTGCCAGTTGCTTTATACATATATTACTCAAGTTTCCGATAAGAACACAAAGGAAATATTATCTCCATTCTTATGGAAGAGGCAATGGAGGCTAAATGAGCTGAGTTGCTGAAGTTCTCATGATCAGAAAGAGGCAGAGCCAGGATTTAAGTCCAGGCATGTCTGGCTCTGAAGCTCTGTTCTTTCCCCTACACCTGGGGCCTTGCCACATGCAGTGTGCTAGTCTTCTTGGAAACCAAGCATACCCAATCCACTGCACCTTACCTTCTTATGTAATAACCTGGAGGGTAGGGAGAGCCATCTGCTTCAAGAGCAACATATTTCAGTCCATAAGGCAAATAAGTTGGCAGAAAACAGAAGGATTGTGACATTGCCATTTGGCATTCCTGATTTACTCTGCATTTATAAAATAGAAATATGTAGTCCAGCATGTTGATTTCACAAGCCTATCATTATCATTCACTCTGAAATAAACATAGTCAGGGACATCATGTACAAAGTAAGGAATCCTTGTTTGGGGGGATAATGTCAGGCAGAAGTTTTCTTTTTTTTTAACTCTTACTTCCTAAAGCACTAGTTTACAAGTGACTTCCTGAAATATACTTCAATACTGAGGCCAGTGAAGGAGAAAAACAAGTAAGGCAGAAAGCTTGGGATTGAATTTAAGAACACAAACTCACAAGATTATTTAAGAGATAATACAAAGTAATGCTTTCAAAGCAAGGCTGGTCATCCAAATTCACCTGAAGAGCTTTAAATATATATATAGAAACCTGAACCCAGTTTCAGGCAGAGCTTCCAGGAATAAGGCCCAAGCACCTGTCTAGTAAAAATTTCCCATGGTTATTCTGATGATCAGTTTCAGTTTAGAGTTGCTGCTTAAGAATTTGGAAGCTAATATATGGGGAGCCTATTTGTGTATTTTAATTTGTATAAATAATCTTAAAAAATGAGCTCATAATTTTTCTTTAGTATGATTTCTAAATGCTCATAACAGTCTAGATATTTAGTACACTTTCTTTTCAATAGCCATTCGGAAATCCCTTCACTAATAACAAGTCAATTAGTAGAGAAAAAGTAAGAGATGTCAATCAGTTTATCCCAATATGATTATATTTTAGTAGGAAACAAAAGACCCTAAAGAAATAGAAAGTGTGGCCTCAGAATGAGCCCGACAGTTTTAATAAAAGAAAAAAAAAAGACAAATATAAGAGGAATTCCAGTTGATTTTCAGGTGCATTCCCAGTAGCCCCAAAGAATCTAAAAAACCTTCAGGAAGTTCCTGTTGATTATCTTAGCTTCCTGAAGCACTGGAACAGCAGAGCTCACCCAGAAGTTACTGTGAATTTTATATGGGGTATATGCCCATGCTTCTAGTAATAGCCTCTCTTTTAGAGAAGGAAACTCCAATCCACACTCAAATAAAAAACATACAGAGAAGATTATTCTGGGAGATGTAGTTCCCAGATTCTCCTCTGCTATACAGGTGCAGCAAGGAAGGAGTAGCAACAGAGAATCTAGCATAATCTTTAAATGTTTAGAATAAGAAAGGGTATGAAAATAAATAAGCTGAACATTTATATTGGTTGAATTCATTCATTCATTCAAGTGAGTGAAACAAATCACTCTAGGTATTTCAACAGAACGAATTTAATAGAGGGAATTTGTTAATCAAATGCTAGAGGACTGAAAAAAGGAAAATGAGAACAGAAGGGATCATTACAAAAAGCTGCTACCACCCTTAGGGGTGGAGAGGTCAAAAGAAGAGGCTGAGATTATTATAAGCTAGAGCTTCATGAAAGGAGCCTACAAAGTTAGAACTCAGGATTCCAAGGGAGGGTGCCACCTAGCTGGATGCTGCTGGTATTTCAGGGGTTTGGAGGAGGGAGCAGGGGATGCCCTGAGCAGGGGATGCTGCGCAGCTGGTGCTGGTGTTTCAGAAGATTGGGAGAGTTCTTGTGTTGTTGTGACTCAGACACAAGGAGTCACACTCAGACACATGAGGAGTAGGCACTGTCTAGCTGGTGCACAAGGAGGCTGGTGGTGGGAACGCCTCAGTAAGCTGCAGCTGTGAGCTTTTATCCTTCTGCTGCCAGGATACAAGGCAAGTAGGGTGGACTGATAGGATAAATCAACAAGCATGAATAGACAAGTCCCTTCTCCTCTTCTCCTGCCATCCAGTCTCCCTGTTAGTTCCTCCTAGGGAGGGAAACAGTAGACTTTCTGACAAAGAGAACTGCCTGTTGTTTGCAGAACTGTCATCACAAAATAGAGTATAGAGTTTGGAACCTAATACCTGGCACATTATTCAGTGGAAAAATTCAGAAAATAGCAACAGAATAAGCCAAAACAAAGTACAGAGTAGAAATAATAGAGGGAAGAGAAGAAATATATAAGATAGGACATGAATATTTTTTGGAGAGGACCAACAAAACTAAATTTTGATTCTTTGGGAAAACTAATACAAAAAAACTTTGGCGGGACTTCCCTGGTGGCGCAGTGGTTAAGGATCTGCCTGCCAATGCAGGGGACGTGGGTTCGAGCCCTGGTCCGGGAAGATCCCACATGCCGTGGAGCAGCTAAGCCTGTGCGCCACGACTACTGAGCCTGTGCTCTAGAGCCCGTGAGCCACAACTGCTGAGCCCACGTGCCACAACTAATGAAGCCCGTGCACCTAGAGCCCGTGTTGCGCAACAAGAGAAGCCACCACAACAAGAGTAGCCCCCACTCGCCGCAAGTAGAGAAACCCTGTGTGCAGCAGTGAAGTCCCAATGCAGCCAAAAATATATAAATAAATAAATAAATTTGTATAAGAAAATACTTTGGCAAGTATGAGTCAGAAAAAGGGGGAAAATATTAGAAATGAAAAACGTGTAGCTGAAGATGCAGCAAAGATAATAAATGTAATGAAAATGTGAACAACTTTATATCAATAAGTTTGGAAAACTTCAACAGGCACATCATGGAAAAATAAAATTATTAAAGTTGATGCTTAAAGATATAGGAACTTGAATGTTCCTAAAGGATCAATGAAATTGCACAGTAGTTAAAAATATTCTCACACACATAAATGATAAAAAACTCTAGGTTCAGATCCTTTAAAATAAATAGGTAGTTCTTGTTTAATTTTTGTGTCCGTAATTTCTTTAAAGATTTCATACATACCTGTTTTATATTTTGTACCTAATAATTCCAGTATCTACAGTCCCTGAAGGGGGAGGCATCAATAACTATTGTTTATTGTTTCTGTTGATGGCCACTCTTTATAGCTTGCCTTCTTGTGTACTTGGTGTTCTGTGATTTTGTACTTACTTTGGTTTTAATATGTGTGACGTCCACGCACCTAAATGAAGGTACCTTTCTTCTGGAGAGGGTTTTGCTTCTATTTCTACTTCTATTTTTACAAGTAGCCAGGAGATACCCCTGACTTGGGACCATTTTAGCCTTAAGGTTTTAGGCTCAGATTTGGCCTCATCACTTGTGTGCTGGCCCTAGGCTCAATATCCCAATAGCCATGTGCTGTGAGATCCATGCTTCAGGCAAGCTGCCCCAGCCACCTCCCAGCTGTTCCAAGGTGAGCTGTCCTCTAATTCTGCCCTAGCTGACCTTTCTTGGGGAGGGGAGATTCACAAAGCTCTCCCTTCACTTTGAAAATCAACAATACCTGAAATAGCATGTCTTGGATAATGTTTAATTGTGAACAAAGGAGGAAAAGAAGGGGTTTAGGGATGTCGGGAAAGCTTCAAATCTTTGGGAAAGTTTTATTTCTCAAGCTGAATTGTGGGTACAGGAGGCTTATTTTATTTAATTTATTAGTATTATTATTTAAGGACAATTATAAATGATATTCTTTTGTATGTATCATGTATTTTCTAAGAAGCTAAAAAATAAAAAACCCTAATGGTGGTCTCACTAAAATCTCTCTGTGACATTGAGAGAGCACTAAGAAATCAGCAGCAACACTGTGTACATTGCTGCACCGACTAAAGACAGTGCCCTCATCACAGACATAAGTGCTGTAGAAAACAGCATTGGCCCAAGCAGGAGACATGCCCGGGTTGAGCTGGGTAGAAAGGAGGAAAATGGTGAAGGACATATGGTAGCCTTGCAGGTTTGTTCATGGGGTCCATACGAGATGACTCCTGGGGACTTCAATACGAATGTGAGAGGAACTTGGGGTGATGTTCTCATAGATATAGTGGGAACAGATCAGAGAAATATTGTATATTGTGCGTCTACAAGCTACTGTGGCTCTGGGTTCATGGATTATGCAAATTACACATAAATATAGTCCTGATTCCCCTTCTGGCCTTGAGAGCATCCTTAAAATCTTTGTTTCTGACTAGTACCAACTCCAGTTGTCTCTTCTCTTGTGTTCCAATTCTATATACTTCTCTGTGGTTGCCCAGTAACGTACCATGGAGAAGCAATTTGCAAAATGGAGCCATGGTGCTTAGAAACATTAATTCCACTCTTATGGGGAACAATTTGCTCTCAGGGTGTGGTTTTTTTTCGTCATAGGCTCAGGACCATTGAGATAGCAGCATAGCAAAGATATCTGTTAAATTCTTATCTATGGGTCAAGATATTAAAATGCCATGTAATTGGAGCTCCTGTTTAGAAATATTAATAACTATTGCATTGAAAACCAACTTAGTAATAAATGAGAAAACAGCAAGCCAGGAGGGTTTGTATAATTTCACTCAACTTTATGTTCTACCCAATTTACCAGGCAAAAAATAAATTATGTTTGAAAATCAGTCATGCAGTATTTCTGGCCACTTTTCATGAAAATGGATTATCTGTCACAGTTCTCTGAGGCTTTAGCCCCGTGTGACATGGTAACACAGGACAGAGCTGTGAGCCAGGCTTACGCAAGCATTAGCCAGCCAGTTATGATCTGAGGGGTTCCAAGGGCTGCCCACTGCAAATGTTAACTCTACCCATGGTCTTCTTTGTTGTTTATAGAAGTTGAATTCACTCCCTAAATGTCTTCTGGAGTTGAAAGCTTTTCTGTCATTGTTGTTTGCTTATCAATAATTTGTTCTTTTTTGTTATCAGTGAGGGATATCCAGTTTACAAACCAGAAGAGAGTATTTTCTGATTGTCTCTCACTTGCTGGTCTTAACTGGCAGACAACCTAATTCTGAAAGACTTTGCTACATGGGAGAGTAGTAATAGTAGAAGTGGTTGTTGTTATTGTTGCTTGAATTGAAATATAACTTGCATGAAGTGAAGCAGTGTTCAGTGTTCAGCTCGTTAAATTTTGACATGTGTATGTAGCCAAGTAACCACCACCTGGAGGCTCTTTCCTCTCCCTTTCCAGTCCATACACAGCTCTGTCTCCTCTCCCACGCATACCAAAAAGTAAACACTATTCTGACTTTTATCACCACAGCCTGGTTTTGCCTATTTTAGGACTTTTTATAAATAGAATCATTCAGTATGTACTCTTTGGTGTCTGGCTTTTTCAACTTCATATTATATGCGTAAGATTCATTTATGCTGTCGCATTTATCAGTGGCTTGCTGTTTTTCATTGCTGTATACTCTTTTATGAATATGCTACAATTTAACCATTCTACAGTTGGTAGACATTTGGGTTGTTTCTATTTTTTGATTATTTAAAATGTGAACATTTAAAAAATATATGAACATTTTTGTACACGTAGCTTGGTGGATATATGCATATATTTCTCTTACATATATACACCAAGGAGTGGAATTGCTGGATCATAGGGTATACATAGTTTAGCTTTAGTAGAAAATGCCCAAACTGTTTTCTGGGAGGGTAGTTTTGATGGGAGATGTACTGGTGGTTCTCTGTTTGCCCCTCTAGATCGATTTTCTGCTTTTCTCTGTCACACTCTGTGCCCTGAATCATCCTAGTTTCCCGTTTCCTTATATTGGGTTGGCCAAAAAGTTGGTTCGGGGTCCATTCATAACATCTTACGGAAAAACCCAAATGAACTTTTTGGCCAACCCAATACTTTGGCTCCTGGTTGGATTTAGCCAATGGAAGCCCCAGCAGTTGATTGAAGAATGGGGAGAGAGAGAGAGAGATCAGAGTATTTATTCCTTCTGTTGTCTCTCTACTTCACCACCATAGAGAGAGTTTCCATTCTTCTACAGACACAGCCCCTGTTGGACAGCCACTCTTCCCAAGTGCCAGCTCTCACTGGTTCTACAAACACCATTCTTCTTCCTTGCCTTTTTAGGCTTGGTGGGTGATTATGGATACCCATTGTTGCTACTGCCTGGGCATTTCTCCATCTAGCAAGGCACTCTTAGCCCTATTCACATTCCTGAAAAAAAAATTATTCTATAAAAATCTAAAACCTTTGAGTAGGCTATCTTTTCTTGTAGGGATTTTAACTGATACAGGAGGAAAAAAGATTTTGAGAGATGTCAGAATGTGTTGAAACACATAAGGGCTCCTGCTCAGCATGAGAGAATTGGCACAGGAAGGAGACTGTACTGAAAGTAGTTTTTTAGGGTAATTTAAGTTAGCAAATATATTGGGTGTGAACCAGAACTCTGAGCAACATAAAGATGAAGTTCTCATCCGTAAGTAGTTCTGTTGACAAGTAGATCTTGATTTTGATCCTGGTTGCACATGACTCCTCTAATAAGCCTCAGTCCCGTTGTCTATGAAGTAGAAGTTATGATTATACCTGTTTCAGGCTGACCAGTAGCTCAACCACTACCATACCTCCGAAGCAGTCAGATAGTGAAGAAAATCAAGGAAACCACACACCAAAAGTGACACAGAATTTCTGATATTTCATTAAAGGAATTCATCCAGCAGTGGTAGGTTTACCTAGGAGGCAGTTTTGTACTCAGAATCTTGGAGGCAAGGTCCCACACATCTTCTAACTTCAGGGAGGCTACAACCACCAACCAAGGAAAAAGAGGTTGCTTCAGGGGTGGCAGTCTGGTATAGTGGCTGAAACAAAGCAAGGTTTGAGAGTCAGATCTAGACTTTGTCTCTTATTGGCTATATACTCTTGAGCTAGTGCTGAACATTTCTCAGTTCTCCCCACACTAAAATGAGGATAATCATTCTCATACCTTTTATAATAACTGTTATTAATGCATTTATCACATTCAAAGAGGTACATAAACATATTTATGAACATCGTCTTTCCTCTCCAAGCTAAGTGCTGGTATAAGCTGTTAGGACATACAAAGCTGCTAGTAGAGCTGCGGGTAACACTGCTGTGAGGGTAATATTGAGAGGAGGCATGTCGGGGGCAGGGAAGGAGCTGCGTGCGAAGATAAGATACCAAAGTTGAATAGACGTGAAGACTAGGAATGGTGGTGCTGAGGGCCAACATGTGTACATCTGAATTCTATCCTGATTCTGGGATAGAAAATTAGAAACTGCTACGTGTAAGCAGAAGAAATCTGAGAGGCAGATCATTAAAGTATGTGACTTACATTGGATTTGTCTGCAGGGATATTTGGGGTTTTGCTTTGCTTGAACAATAGTCATTTGAATAAGTTCTCTTTTTGCAGGTCTAGCACTCTATTCCTACTGTCTTCATTTTATTCATTTTAGAGACACCAAGTTAATCTCTGCGCTTGTTTGTGTGTGTATGTGTGTATGTCTTTCTTATACACACATAGACACACACACATACACAAACAATGACATATTTCAAGGCAAGCACTGACTTAATTAGCCAGAATAGAAGCAAGGATAAATAAAGGGATTTCTGAGAAAACAAATTCCAGTTTGTTTGTGGGCATGTGTGCCAAAGTAAAAAAGTTTTGAAGGCAGCTAAGGCTTTGGGCAAATTGTAATAGCACTGAAGGGTGAGGGAATATGCAAGGAAGTAAACAATGTGATTCTGGCATCCTGCTGGTGATTAGGAAAATTCTGATTCAAAAACAAGAATTATTTTCAAAGGTCTTTTGACAGAGCTGACAGCTCCTCAGCTGTCAGCTCCTCTCCAGAGACCCTAATGAACTCTTCCTTGTCAGGTCTTTCTGTCTAAACAAGAAATTGCTGGTCTCTCTATCTGCCTCCCTACCATGAATGCACCTACCTTTGCTTTACATAGTATAAATTATTGTTTAATGCAAACACTTGTTCAGGTTGATCAGTAGGTTGTTTCTGTCAACCTATATCAATGTGGTCTTTAATGTGTCAGTGACGCAACAGCAGAGTATGTGTGCAAACAGGTGGTCAGAAAGAGCTTTTCTATTGATAGGTATTTCTAAAGAAGTTGCTGCAACTGCCTTTAGTACTCAAGATTCCTGAAGCTCTTATAGATGGTCAAAATACTTTACCTTATTTTCCACAATAATAGCAAATAGTAATAAGGGGCAATAAAGATGACATCCCAGGGAACGAATGCTTCTTTAAATGTATTTAACAAATCTCATTGCACCTTCTCTACAATATTCAAGATACTTGCCCAATTCTATACAAAGAGCTAGAGATTTCAATTTTAGAATTCAGAAACCCCTTTTTAAATTGGTTTCTGTTTTTAGATAACACAAACAGCGCCATTTTCTAAAATAATTTTTTTTTGAATTTCCTCACATTCTTTGAAAAAAAAATTCACTGGCTTCTCTTTTCCCCTCTATGTTAAATGGTATTTTCCCATCTTCAGTTTTAATATTCTTCCTCAGTATAGCATGGGTGGGCAAGAGTGTGCACCTTGGAGTAATTCACACCTGGGTTTGAGTGCTGGCCAAATTCTTCTCGGTTCTCTTTTCTCACATTTACCACTTCTCTGTCATCTGATGTGTCATCAATGTATTTGGAATTAACTCCTACTCTACCCTGCTGTGACGTTTCCTTTTCTTTGATTACATCTCTTCAAACACTTCATTTTCATAGTAAATTTGCCTCATATATTTGAGAAGGGAAACTACCCATTTCATTAAAAAAGAGATGAAAAACTAAAATAACAACACAACCTCTCCCCAAAATCATCAAACTATGTTCTTTAAAGTTTGTTTCTACTATCAAATAACGCAATTAAAAAAAATAAAAGAAGAGGAGAAAGAAAGAAATAATAAAAGCTATCAGTGTCTACATTGTGTCAATATAACCTTGAGTTTGATCTCTGGTGTGGCCTAGTAATCTCTTACTGACCTAAACCTCTTATAGATAATAATTATAACTCTGGACAAAATTTTAAGAATAATTTTTACTATATTGGAGAATAAAGAAAGTTGAACAAATTCTGGGCAGAAGTTGACCCTTGGATAAATGGAATGACATGGGTGAATGTCCCATTTTTACACGTGGAACCAGTCTTTTGCCCTGAAAAATGAGAGGACAGAGATCAGGGAAAGCACAGCTGCTGCGAAAGTGAAGGGAAGGGGAATCCAGGAAAGAAGAGAGCCAGAGATGAGAGGTTCCGAATTCTGTGTATACATTCTGCCCAGACCTTAGACTGACTCCTCAACTATACATTTGTGGGACAGACTTAAAGCAGTCAATTGAGGATGAAAGAATAAAACTGATATTTTAGTTGCCACTCAAAAGACAGAATTTCCAGTTTGATAGCAATAAAATTAATTACTTGCTAACATAAGGACGAGAAAATCATTATTGGATCACTCACTATGTTCAGGACACAATTCAAGATTATTTGATGTACACAGATTTGGGAAAGTATGGGTCAGCTTCAAGAGAAAAGACAATCAACCAAGACCAGTCCAAAGAATAACCAGATGTTGGAATTAGCAGACTACGGAATTGAAAGCAGCTATTACAACTAAGCACAATAAAACAAAGGAAAATATACACATAAGAAATGACAAATAGAAAACTCAGCAGATAAATTTAAAATATATCAAAGAACGGTATGTAAATTCTATAAATAAAAACTTCCAATCTAAAATTAAAATATACTGGATAGGCTAACAGGAGAATAGAAAAGATAGAGAAATAAATTAGTAAAATTTAATATTGAACAATATAAGTTATTCATTCTGGGGAACAAAACAAAACAGCGTTCCAGGGACCTGAGGGACAATATAAAAAGGTATAATATGTGTAATATATATGTAATTGGAGTTCCCAAAGGAGAAGGAAGAATTGGGTAGTAAATATATTTTAAGAAATAATGGCCAAAATTTTTACCAATTTGGTGAAAGACATAAATTTTCAGATGTAAGAAGCTCAGTGAATCTAGAAAGGGTCAATGCAAAGAAAGCCACACCTATGCACATCAGAGTCAATCTGCTAGAAAGTCAAAGTTGAGAAGAAAGTCTTGAGAGCAGCCAAAGAAAAATGACACATTATACATAGTGGATCAGTGATCAAGTTTTGCTAATTTCTCAACAAAACTATGAAGGCCATAAGACAGTGTAACGACAGTGTAACACACAGTGCTGAAAGAGTGAAACTTCAACCCAGAATTCTATATTCAGGAAAAAAAACAGAAATATACTTCAAGAAATAGCACAAAATAAAGAACTTCTTACATAAAAGAGAAATAAAGAGAATCAATTACCAATCAGACCTGTGCTACAAAAAAAGGCTAAAAGAAATTCTTCAGAATTAGGGGAAATGAAAGCAGATACAAACTCAGATCTTCAGGAAGCAATTAAGAGCATTAGAAAAGGTCTGGATAAACATAAAGACTATTTTATTCTTAACTTCTTTAAAATATATGTGACTTGAAAAGTTACATTATCGTCTATGAGGTATTTACTGTATGAAGATGTAATGAATATGACAATTATAAAGGACAGGGAAAGGGGTGAATGGACCTATATGGTTGAAAATTTCTGTACAATGTTAACTATAAGAAGACTGTGAAAAGTTAGAGGTGTATATTGTAATTCCAAAGCAATCATTAAAAAATAATGCAAAGAAGCATAGCTAAAAGCCAATAAACACATTCAAATTTGTATTATAAAATACTTAAAAATACTTGATATGATACAATTTAATTATGTTTTCCAATTCTGAATCTGCACATTAGCCTAGGGAAAAAAATGTGCATTTGAAGAAGGCTTAGGATGAGTACTGTTTACTTTAAGACCAAAGAGAGTATTCATGATGAAGACTTCTGCGGTAGGGTTAAAAGAATTTGTGGTTCAGGATTTGGGTTTTAACTTCTAAAACCAAAACCGTCTACTCTTCTCCATGCAAATCTCTTTGCCCTGTTCCTCTCATCCCACATTTAGTGAGCCTCTGCGAGAGGGCTCTGTCTCCTCTCTGTTCCCATATTCACACCCTAGGAGCACATCCAGAAGCTGTGGGAGGGAAGTGTATGGGTACCACTGAGAAAATAAACAGATGGGCCTGCAATTCCTGGAACACCCATGTATTGGTATTTTTCTTCTTTTAAGAATAGGTGAAATAATAAAGTATGACCATTATTTTAAGCAAAGTATGACTATCAAGGTCACAGATCCCAGCTGTAAGATATCTGCCTATCTCATTTAGAAATGATAAAAATACTGAAAATATGCAAATTCCTTTTTTGTTCAGAATATTTTTGATATACCTGTATATTTATAGAGCCATATCCATATTTACAGTTGGTCTTCTGTACCCATGAGTTCTGCCTTTGCAGTTTTAGCCAAACTTAGATCAAAAATATTTTTTAAAATTCCAGAAATTTCCAAAAAGGAAAACTTGAATTCTCTGTGCCCTGGCAACTATTTACATAGCATGTACATTGTATTAGGTATTATAAGTAATCTAGAGATGATTTAAAGTATAGTCATCCGTCTTTATCCATGGGGGATAGTTTCAGGAGCCCCAGTGGATGCCAAAATCCACAGGTGTTCAAATCCCTTTTATAAAATGGTATAGAACAATGACTATAGCCGGCCCTCCATATCTGCGGATATGAAACCTGTAGACATGGAGGGCTGACTGTATATGGGAGGATGTGCCTAGATTATATGCAAATACTACACCGTTTTATAAAAGGGACTTGCGCATCCTCCGAGTTTGGCATCCTGGGG